CTTCTGGGGGGTGAAGAGGAGGGAGGTGCAGAGACTAAGGAGGTCCCTTCCTCATGAAAAGCATGCCACTTCTCACACAGACCTCATGCTGGGATAGCGACAAAAGGCACCTACTCATTTCTATAGCAAATCTTTTTGTGTGGTTGAATTCGAGACAGCATCGTGAGGTACTGGGCTGTCATTCATCCTTCAGGTCTCCAGTTAAATGTCACTTCCTAAGGGAAGTCTGCAAAACCCCAAGACAGCATAGGGCCCTGTCATGTGCTCCCCCATCCCCTTCATTCCTGTCATTGTAATCATCACATCGTATTATAGCTGCCTGTTTGTTTTCTCACCTTTCTAGTAGAGAACATAAGCTGTGTGAGGGCAAGGAACCTTTTTCACTCGTGGACTCCCCAGTACCGAGCCCAGTGCTTGAATGTAGCAGGTGCCCAGTTAACACAGGGAGGACTGGAATGAAAACCTTCCCTGAGGGGCTGCAATCCATGCAACCAGGACAGTGGCCAGTGCCTAAGAAGCATACGGGTCAAGCACGGAGGGAGTTCCAAGAAGGAGACATCTTCTAGCTTGGTTTCCTAAAGGAGGAATATTCACAAGGACCCTGAAGAAGGCAGACAGCCAAGATGATCTGGGACAGTCCAGGTGGATGCAGGAGCAGTGTGAGCAAGAGGCAGGAAAACGCAGGGTGGTTCCCGCACACTGCCCAGTCTGTCCGGAGCGCAGGCTGAGGAAGGGCAGGGCCAGTGAGACATCTAGGCCACCTGTGACCACTCCGCCTGGGGAACCACTGCCCGGTGAGCCAAGGCCCCTCGCTGGGAAACATGCGCCCAGTGCCTATGCTTTGCAGAGCATCAATAAAAGAAATTCTAGAACTTTGCAGCCCGTTTATAATTTTGCTGCAAGAAGCCCTTTTTTACATCAATCTTCTATTCTATTTTAATAATAGTCATTTCCTTTTGCTTTGTTCTCAGAGGACTAAGATAAGCTAATCACCATCCTTGGCAGAAGGAGATTTTGAAGCCTTAAAAAGGCTGTCTTGTGATACTATTTCCAAGTATCACAAGACGGTAAAAGTGGCATATCATCTGGGAGAGGGGCCGACGTGGGCCACAGTGTGTGCCCTGTGCAAGCCGGGGACCGCCCCCACTCCCTGACCACCTGTGCTCTCATGCCCCAGTTGCTCTCAGGAAGCACGTGATTACACCAAATTATCTCTACTTGTCAGGCTGGGATAATAGATCACATGTATTTTAGGACCTAGGTCAGGGATGGCAAGTGAAAAGCCGGCCCACAGTGTCACAGAGGGGTAATTAAAGTAAGCACAGATGTGGCTCCTGAAGGGCTGCTGAATTCCCTCTGCTCAGAACTCTTCGATCATAGAGCATAATTGAAATCACTCATAACAAAGAATAGATAGCAAGCCAGACACAGCAAAACCAGAGTCGGCCTAAATTCACTTTAGTGAGTGAAGGTGGCTCGCGAGAGGGGCTCAGATGATAGACACTACAGTTAGGGCAGCAACGGGGCTCACGGGAGGCCAGCTCTGGCCATGAGGCCATCTGCTAAGGAGACTCCCAGCATAAGAGGCCGGAGGACGTCAAAGGCCCTTGGGCTATGGCTGGCACTGGGGCAGGTGCAGGAGACACTTAGGAGTTTCAATCCGAAGCACACAGTGCCTGCTCCATCTCCTGCTCTCTTCTACAGCTTATTATCTGAGAGAACTCCTAACAGGAAGACACTGCAGGGGAAATGCCAACCACAAAGGCCACAGATAGTGCTGTCCCTCCCTTGTGGCCTGAGGGAAAAGGAGCATTTGGTCTGCTTCCTCCCCCGGAGAGTGCCACATCCTCCTGCCCACCCCCATCATCACTGGCCCTGTGTCCACCAGCTATTTCCCCCTCCAAAATTATTTTTAACTTTTAATCTCCCTTTGAAGGTCACTCAGGAGCCTCATCAGAAAGCACTCAACAATGGCATTAAGCCCCACCCCAAGCTCTGCATGGGCCTGGCCCGATGTTGGGGGCTCCCACTGGACTCACCAACCCAGCAGCTCTGCCCCAGCCGCTGCCCTGTGAGCCAAGGCCCCTCACTCGGAGGCATGCGCCCAGTGCCTCTGGGGAAACCTGCCCTTCGTGATGGGAGGGGAGGAGGAGGCAGCCATGACCTGCAGCGCCTGGGAGCCCACACCATGCTCTGAGGTCAGAATACACCTATCAACTCCACAGAGCTCAGCCATGCCTGCCTACATGGGGTGATGGGCAGAAGGATATCCATTTGGCCCCCAGAACCCTCTAACTGCTCCATCGTGCTCCCAAGTTCTAAAGGAATGCACTTAAGGAAGCCGTGTTGCAGATGTTCCCACCTCCCTATAAACCACAGAAACTTTGTGCCCCAGTATCATTGGCATGGGCTTGGCTTAGGGCACCTGGCCAGAATTCTCCTACCGCTTCCCAAAAAAGGTGTCACAGTCTGAGCTCCCAGAGAGGTGCGTGCCAGAAGGACACTGGGAGCGGACGGGAATGGTCTGCTGTGGGAGTAGCCTGCTGGTCCCAGCATGGGCCGGTGGCTCAAGACAGAGGCTCTGGTGCCCAGCGAATGTAAACTCCAGCCCCTACTCAGCTTCTTACCAGCTGTGTAACTTTAGGCTCCAGGACAGAAATGCTAAAGGGTATTCGTGGTACCGTGTAGTGGGTAGCTGGGGGGAAGGGGTTGGGGGAAGGTTCACAGAGGAAAAATGCTCATCTGCCTAGTAGCTAGAGAAATGCATTTAAAAATATACATAAGGATTAATTACACTTTTCTTACCCAGAACCTACAGAAATGACAAATCGAATTCTCCTTAACACCAAGGTCACCTCCCCCAAACCGCCTCCAGGGAGGGAAGTGGAGGAGACAGGACAGCAGCCTGAAACTTAATCCTTGGATTAATAAAGTCATTTTTGTAAGGGTGGGATTCTAGGGGTCTCGGTTTATAGATGTGTCATTTTAGCCTTTTACAAATGAGCCAAATGATATTTTAAAAGTTTCTGTGAGTATAAAATGTTCAACAAAAAATATTTGCCATCAAGACAGTGGAACACACACAAGTTAAATGTTCTAGATAGAACCTGCTATACAAAATCGAGTGTTTCAAAATAAATGAAAGATATTCCCATTTCAAAATATTTAACCACAGGTTTTCAGCTAAACACCCAAATTCTTAAGCACATTCAAAATAAGGTTTTGCTGTTTGAATTGTTGATTTACCAGGCATTGTCAGAAACTCGTCTGTGGATCGCACATTGAAGCTTGTGCACAGGGCTGGGTTAAGATCCTCGGCGCTCCTGTAAACACCCTCTGGGCTCCACTCTGTACCACAATGGCATTCAGATCCAAATTAAAGCATTCAAGGGAAGCACTTGGAAAATCCTAAAGCACTAGCTACCCGCTAGATATTATAAATATTAAATATCATTTCTAGAGTACACAGCCTAGCATTTGCTTCAAAATTACGGAGGGAGGGAATAAATGAAGTGAGACAGGTCAGAAGTTGGTAATTACTGAAGTTAGATGACGTGTATAATGGCTCATTATACCATTTGCTTTCCATTTGCATATGTTTGAAATTCCCTACCATAAAAAGTTTAAAAATAATAAAATTCATGTGGCGCCTTGGAAATTTGAATTATAACCCTCTTCATTTTGCAGGTAAAACAAACCCATCCAGAGAGGTTAAGTGACTTTCTTGAAGTCACACAGCTAGCTGCAGAGCCAAGAGTCAAAATTCTGAACTCGCAGCTCTGGGCCCCTTCTGTGGCCGCATACCAGGGGCCTCAGGCAGACATAGTTTCCTGTGGCCACCCTCCCTAATATTCCCAATTTCTTTCAGCTCCCAGGAGTGTCGGGGAGCCCGCGCGGAGGAGGGAGGGTGCTGACGAAACTGAAGCTGGAAGAGTAGAGCTCCGGGGAGCCAGGAGGCCCTGGGCACTGTCCAAACGTAACAGGGCGGGGCGGAGGGGGTTCTCGCCTGCATTCTGGGTCACTGACAGCTGGAGCAAGCCTGCCCAGGGAACCTGACCTTGGCCATGACATAGGCTTATTCTGCCCTCCCTCTGCCCCCAACCTTTCCAGCCCATCTCCCTACTGCTGAAAGATCAGGGGTCCGGGAGAGATTCCTCGGATTCCAGGCTTTGGGAAAGTGGATTGGGGGCAAATGTTAGCCACCAGGGGCACTGGGGGCGGAGAGGGAGACCCTAGAGAGAGGAACTGCGTGTTTGGAGCCGCCCCTCGGTAAGATCCGCGTCTGCAAATGGAGAAGGGGCGGGGGCAGGGAAGGGAGCAGCCGCGAGCCCCCTAAGCCAGGGTAGGAAACAGGTCCAAGGTCCTCTGGCCTTTGGAAGCAGAGACTTCTGAGTCCCAGAGTCCTTCGACTCTGACCGCTGGAAAGACCTGGGAGCTGAGTGCGCCCGGAGGACCTCCCCGCGCTGGGGCTGTGCATGCAGCAAACCCAAGCCGCTGGCGAGGGGGTGCGAGAACGACCTCCACGCGTGGGGGGACCGCGGCGCCCTAAGTCCCCTGTCACATTCCGGGCCCTGTCAATTAGGTTGGGTTTGGAGACGTGACTGCATCTGGTCCCACAGCCGCCCCGGCCCAGACCACCCATCCCGAATCCCCGGACTCGCCCTTCTCTCCACTCTGTCCACAGGCTGCCCACCCGGGGACCCCAGAATCTCGCCCGCTTCTCCGTCGGGTTCCCCAGCGTCTCCCTCCCCCTCGTCTGCGCGCAAAGCTCGCATTAGGTCCCTTTAAGGAACAACCGACCCCGGTCTCTTTTTCTCCCGTACGATAAAGGGCACCAGGTGTTCCTGCCCGAGGATGCGGACTCCTCGACCCTGAACTCCCACCCCCAGAAGGCCTTGAGCTCTGCAGCTCCAGGTGGCCGGGTCCGTGCGCCTCCCCGTAGATGCGGCTCTCTGCGTCTGCCGCACGCCCGCAGCCCTCCCTGCCCGGGGAAGCCTCACCATCGCTGCCGCTGTCCTCGCCCGCGCACCTCCCAGCTGGGCCTGCCCGCCCCGACTGCTCCAGATACGGCCGCCTCCGCCGTTGTGACACACCGGGAGGGGGGGACGCCGGGGACAGGCGCGCCGGGCCCGCAGCTGCCCCCCGGCATCACAGTGCCGGGGAGGGGCGGGCAGGTCACAAAGGCCCCTCCCCGCCCACCCGCGGCTCAAATCTCCGGGTCCTCGGTCCCGCCTCCGCAGCCGGGGGCGCTGGCAGCAGGGACTGCGCCCGCGGGGGAGGCTGCCCTATTACCAAAGCGCACGTGTCCACGTTCCAACACAGCGGGCGAGAGCAGCCTTCGTGACCCCAGCTGCTGGAGAAGGAAATGTAAAATGCAGCCAGGCGAATCGCGCGGGTCACCCCAAACTTCCGTTCTCCTCCGACCCGCTGGAAAGGCTCCCGACTGGGGTGTAGCTGACCGGAGCGGGCTGTAGCGGCCGCGGGTGCCCAGGTGCCGTCTCAGCCGGGCGCCCTAGGGCCGTGCGTGCTTGGCAAGCTGCAGGGCCTCTGCTCCCAAAGCCTGTGCCTCCTGCCGCCAAGGCCCGCCTGGCTGGTGGAGACGGAAATGAGATGGCATACACAGAGCTCCCGGTACAGGCAGGTGCTCAAGACTGTTGCTGTTTTTACCCTCTCCGGGTACCTCCCACCCCCACCGGGATTTTCAAATCTCCCCCCTTAATCCCTTCCTACCTTTAAGCCCCAAACGTGCCAAGTCACATGTATGTACTCCAGAACTCATACCAGGATTCCCCTGCCTCTGCCCAGTAGGAAGACCCGCTACAGATGCTGATGTTGATTGCCCTCTGCTTGGGAAGGGGTGGGCACTTGGTAAGAGCCCCCCTTCACACTTTAGATGTTGGCCCCGTTGTCACCCTGCCCATCTCCCCTCACTTCCCCCCAGGTGGGTGATGGGCGGGATGGTCTTTGTTCCTTGTTCTTTCCCTCCAGTGGTCAGTTCCATTCATGTTGAAAGGTGTACCCCAGCCTCTCTCTTCCAGTTTCCTCAGACAACTGACCACCAAGCACCAAGCCGCCGCAGGCAAATTCATAGGTTTTCCTTAAGACAATACCACTTTAGCCAGACGCGGTAACTCCCCAAGTTTCCAAGCACAGTTAGAGATCTTTCTACTCTTCCACTCCGAAGACATGCCTGTTCGTGGCCAATAGAGAATGGGAGCAGATTTCTCCTTATGTATGCAGCAATCTGTTCTGTTCTGTTGGCCACCCATTCATAAGGGATAGTACCTGTGTCTTCATCATCTTTGCATTTGGGAGAGTACCAAACACAGTGATTTAAATACTGATACAAGCGGTACTTAGTAAAGCATGCATTGAATTTTTGTCTATCTTATAATGTAAGATCCTGACAATTAAGACTCAGGATTAAGCTAATTGTGCCAAGCACGTGATAAATGCTCAATGAAGGATTTCGGTTATTATTATAACTCTGTATGTATTTCTCTTCCAAACTCTCCCATAGCATATTCTATTACTTCTTCCATAGTATTTCTTTCTTTTTTTTTTTAGACAGAGTCTCACTCTGTTGCCCAGGCTGGAGTGCAGTGGCCTGATCTCCGCTCACTGCAACCTCCCCCTCCTGGGTTCAAGTGATTCTGCTGCCTCAGCCTCCCGAGTAGCTAGGACTACAGGCGCCCGCCACCATGCCCGGTTAATTTTTTGTATTTTTAGTAGAGACGGGGTTTCACCGTGTTACCCAGGATGGTGTGGATCTCCTGACCTTGTGATCCGCCCATTTAGGCCTCCCAAAGTGCTGGGATTACAGGCGTGACCCACAGCGCCCGGCCCCCATAGTATTTATCACTTTCTAGTTTGGATTACAGGAGTGTGTGTGTGTGTGTGTGTGTGTGTGTGTGTGTGTGTGTGTGTCTAAACACTACAAAGCACCACCTTACAGGAAAGGGTGTGGTTTTCACCTTACAGGAAGGGGTGTGGTTTTCATCTTAGTGCCCTCCCACCAAAATTGGCGAGCTGAGTGAGTCAGGCGAGCTCCATAAACTCAGCTGGATAAATTCACTTTTCGAGTTCTCTTTTTGAACCACCACATAAATCATGAATGGGTTCTTAAGGTGCTGGGATAAAGATGATGATGATGGTGACGATGATGATACTAGTAATGACGGTGGCCCTGAATTGCCTTTCATTATGACAGGGCTCTTGAACACCTCATCTTTCCCCTCTATGAAAATTTGGGCTGGAGGGAGCCATGACTACACCATAAATGCTAAATATAGCATCTGTGGGTTCCAGGGAGATAAAAAAGGTTGGCTGTTACGGACTGAACTGTGTTCCCCCAAAATTAATGTTTTAAAGCCTAATCCCCAATGTGACTATAGTCAGAGATAGGGCCTGTAAGGGGGTGGTTATGATTAAATGGGGTCCTAAGGATATGACCCTAATCCAGAAAGGATATAACCCTAATCCAGACTGGTGTTGAAGAGGAAGAGACACGAGGAGGGTGCAGACATGGAGAAAAGGCCACGTGAGGACACAGCGAGAAGACGGCCATCTGCATGTCAAGGAGAGAGGCATCAGGAGAAACCAACTCTGCCAACATCTTGACATTGGACTTCCAGCCTCCAGAATTGTGAGAAAATTAATTTCTGCTGTTTAAGCCACCCAGTCTGTGGTATTTGGTGATGACAGTCATAAGCAGACTAAGACAGTGGTCTTGGAGTCTTTAGAGAAAATACAATTGGCTGGGCGCAGTGGCTCACGCCTATAATCCCAACACTTTGGGAGGCCAAGGCGGGCAGATCACCTGAGGTTGGGAGTTCAAGACCAGCCTGACTAACATGGTGAAACCCCATCTCAACTAAAAATACAAAATTAGCCTGGCGTGGTGGTGCATACCTGTAATCCCAGCTACTTGAGAGGCTGAGGCAGGAGAATCGCTTGAACCCAGGAGGTGGAGGTTGCAGTGAGCCAAGATAGCACCATTGCGCTCCAGCCTGGACAACAAGAGTGAAACTGTCTCAAAAAAAATCTACTTCTTTTTGGTTTTTGTCCTCTCTTAAAATTATTTGATTTGTGGCATCCTGGATCCCCCATCCCACCCTGCTCTATGCTTTCCTCCCTGGGTAGAAGTTTGGAAAGGGGAAAGGACATGTTTTTAAGTCCCTGTGATGTTTAATTTTATGCATCAACTTGACTTGGCCACAAAGTACCCAACATTCATTGGTCGAACATTATTCTGGGTGTGTTTGTGAGGGTGTTTCTGGGAGATAAACATATGAATCAGCAGACCATGAAAAGCAGATGTCCCTCCTTAATGTGGAGAGGCCTTAGCCAACCAACTGAAGAACAGAATAGAACAAAGAGGCTGAGAAACTGGGAACTTCTGCCTGCCTGACTGTTGAGCTAGGACATTGGTCTTCTGCCCTTGCACTAGAACTTTCACCAGCAGCTCTCCTGGGTCTCAGGCCTTGACTCAGACTGAAACCTCGTCTTCAGCTCTCCTGGGTCTCAGGCTTCAGACAGACTGGAACCACACCATCAGCTCTCCTGGGTCTCAGGCTTCAGACTCAGACTGGAACCACGTCTTCAGCTCCCTGGATCTCAGCCTTCAGACTCAGACTGGAACCACGTCTTCAGCTCCCTGGGTCTCAGGCTTCAGACTCAGTCTGGAACCACGTCTTCAGCTGTCCTTGGTCTCAGGCTTCAGACAGACTGGAACCACACCACCAGCTCCCCCTGGTCTCAGGCTTCCAGACAGGACTGGAACCACAACACCAGCCTCCTCCTGGTCCTCAGGCTTCAGACTCAGTCTGGAACCACGTCTTCAGCTCTCCTGGGTCTCAGGCTTCAGACAGACTGGAACCACACCACCAGCTCTCCTGGGTCTCAGGCTTCAGACAGACTGGAACCACGTCTTCAGCTGTCCTCGGTCTCAGGCTTCAGACAGACTGGAACCACACCATCAGCTCTCCTCGGTCTCCAGCATGCCCACCACAGGTCCTGGGTTTCTCAGCCCCTATAATTGCATGGGCCAATTCCCTATAACTCTCTAGATATCACCTATTGGTTCCGTTTCTCTGGAGAACCCTAGTACAGTCCCCTTTTTGCAGATGAGAAACTAAAGTGAAGCCTAGGCTGTTTATGAGAAAGCAACCACTCATATGATTTAGGCTTTTTAAAGAAATTACCCACATCTACTGCATTCCAGTTACTATATGTGAGTTAAGTTCTTCTTGTATGAATTTTAATGCTATGGGGCCATATAACCAAATATAATAATTACAGTTATGGCCTAAATAGTTGAGCCACATTCATTAGAGCAGGATGTAAGATAATCACCCAGGAAAAGACTCTTGGTGATATTCATTATCTGTCCAATATTCCCCAACACTGAGCACTTTCTATATGCCAAACACTGTAATGGCTTTTACTCCTCACAACAAACCTCTGAAGTTAAATTTTTATTATCCCCATTTTAAAATGAAGCATCAGAGACATAGAAACATTAACTCTCATTGCTGATCACATAATTGGTAAGACCTAGAGCTGGGCTATGCCTTCAGAGAGTCCGACTCCAGAGCAGAGCTCAACTGGATCTGGAAGGGCAAATCTTACATAGAGAGGCTTGTCCTTGTTCTCTTAGGTTAGACTTGAGAGTTCCAATATCCAGGATGCTGCTCCGGGATAGTGGGTGTTACAGATGGAGGTCACCATGTTCGGGGAGCCTGGGAGCCCAGAGGATGAGACACAAGAAAGATTTGTTCATTTCCAGGCACCCCATTGCTGGGGTGAGCCCATGAAGTCTAGAGACCAAACGATATCTTACCATTAGATTATCTAGATTCAGGTACTTGTCCTATGTATTTAACTTTGGTTAGCCCCAAGCACCTTACGTACATTCACCCGTGTGTCTCAGATGCTGCAAGGGATTAAGGGAAGTTGAGGGTCAACCATTTTGGCTGCAGGATCACAAACAAAGTGGCTCTCCTTTAAGGTTTACATGGCTTGATTACAGCCATAATCAAGAGATCACCAAAGCGGAGGTGAATAGTGGGACAAACTCCCTTGGGAGGGGTGGACCTTTAAGCCAACATCAGGCAGATGCAAAGAACTCAGCAGAAACAGGAGGCAGTGAGAACAAGAGGCAGTGAGCACCGGGAGCGGGAGTCAGTGATAGACCGTGCAGAGAACACTGAGGCTAGGAACTCAGGAAAACTCACCTCCTGCAAACAGGAGGAAAGGCCACCCTGTGACACCCAAGGCTCTGTCACAGATGGGTAACCACCTTCTTCCGCTACCAGCTCCTAAAAGAGCACCCAAAGGGCCGGGTGCGATAGCTCACGCCTGTAATCCCAACAGTTTGGAAGGCCAAGGCAGGTAGACCAGCTGAGGTTGGGAGTTCGAGACCAGCCTGACCAACATGGAGAAATCCCATCTCTACTAAAAATACAAAAATTAGCCAGGCAGGGTGGCACATGCCTCTAATCCCAGCTACTCGGGAGGCTAAGGCAGGAGAATCACTTGAACCTGGGAGGTGAAGGTTGTGGTGAGCTGAGATCATGCCATGCCATTGCACTCCAGCCTGGACAACAAGAGCAAAACTCTGTCTTTAAAAAAAAAAAAAAAAAAAAAAAGCACCAAAAAGTCTGTGTGGGTCTGTGTGGGATAGATTAGGAAAGATGAAGCCATCGGTCATCACCTCCTGCTTTTGGTATTTTGTAGATGGTTAACTCTTCCCCTTTCTGGACATTTCTCTCCTATCCAACACTGAAACAATTGGTTGAATAGTCTCATTTTTTCCAATCACTTCATATATTGCTATGAGTATTGCAAAGTACCCAGTCTTTCTGGACCACGTCCTGGCAGTATGTTGCAAGAGCAGAAAAACAGATCTCTATCAATGTTGTAGATCCACTTTCAAAAAGTAGTCCAAGAAAAAAACCCAAAAAGAAAACAACACTGCTATCGTCTTAACTGTCCTACTCAGCCCTCGGTGATCTCACAGCATTTTCATATGCAATCTGTTTAGAGATTTGTTATTCACAATAGCAAAAAGGTGGTGGTGGTGCATGTGGGTGCTGACCGGGCTGGGCCAAGAAGCCTCCTCCGGGTGGGCTGCCAGGCTCTCACTGTGGCTGTGGCTCTGTATGGGACCGAGACGGGGCTGAGCTGCCCGGGCTGTGGGTGGGGTGGAGGGCCACCAGCCAAAGGACACTTGGAGGAATCGAGCTTCGTGCTGTCCTTCTCTTCTGCCTCTGATACAGAATTTGATGCTGTGACTGGATATTTAGTAGATGTTATCATGGATGACAT